GCATCTTCAGGCTACCTTCAGCTCTCTTTTCCCCTCTGTGTCGCAGCAAACCCACATAAAGTGTATTACTACCACTTATGGGGGTGGAGTGAGAAACTTGGAGTCTTAGTCAGCTGTAATATGACCAAAATTAAGTTCTGCTGCAATCTGAAATTTCTGTATTATTAAATTGTGATTTTATTGCAAATGCAATGATTGCCCCGCCTTGAACTTTTTCCCCCTCCTTATTTAGGGGACTCTAAATGTTTCTCATGGACTCCACCTTCTGCAAATTATTACAGAGGTTTTTGTTGCATCCTCAATTGTTCAAACATCCACCTTGGGTCTGAGGGCTGCAGCCGAGTTGCATCTTAAAGCAGATTTGGCCAAGTTTAATGAGGCACTTCCCTGCTGCAGCCCCAGCATTTAACCCTTCACTCACAGAGCAGTCGAGGACGGCCAACTTTGATCTCCGCTGTACCCCCCCCAACCCTGGAGACAATGACCAGCAGCCTGGTATCCATGGAAAGCTCTTCATTACTTCGCTGAGGAGGCGAGGGCTCTGTGTTCTCCCTCCCCACCTGCTCACTAATGACATATCACTGTGTGTAGCATCTTTGTTGGCCTCTTCATTGACATAAAGCAGCGAGTCCTAATTTGTGTTAGGATGTTTGTTCACACAGAGGAAGGTGGGTGGTGGGGTTAAACAGACCCAGCGGGTCGATGGCTAAGTAACGACTTTTATCGCCCCTCAAAAGGTACTTAATTAACCACCTATCAGGTGTGAAGGTAAATTCTCTTAGGTTTTAAGATAAACAATTTTCATAATCAACCCAACCTAAAACACTATTTAATAGTAACCAAATTTTTTTTATTACACAAGAAAAAGTTACTGATTTTCGCCACAAATATAGACAGAGTTTACTCCAGTTTAAATCTAGTTAAAATAGAGGATAAGTCTGTTTAAAAAAGGTATCTGCAAAACTGCCCCTATATTTCATTTTTTCCACAAACTTGAACAAATTAAAATAAAAAAATACATGCCTGTCTGTTTCACATCCTTACTTTTCAATCAAATGCTGCAGTTCTGCAACAAAAATTAACATATAAGAGTAAATGATGAGGAGTTCAATGTTCAACAATTGTTTTATATTTTTTGAATGTAAAACAAGTACAAGAAGCAATATCCCCTGTGTCTGCAGGGAAATCTCTCCTAGTAATCCTACACTGACACCTGCTGGTCCTTTAATGTCATTACACAGAACAATTACAGCTGAACCCTCACACTAGTGTTAATTTCGTTAACGAAAACTAAACGAAAATATTTTCGTCAACGCACATTTTTCACCCAACGAAAACTAGACGAGACGAGATGAAAATCCCCACTAATAAACAATAACTGGGAGTAAATCAGAAATATTTTTCGTTGACTAATAAAGACGAGACGAAAATGCAGTTTGGTAAATAAAGACTGGACTAAAATCTATGGACATTTTAGTTCACGAACAAAGACGAGACGAAAATTACATATTATTATTTTATGGTTTTTTCAAATCCTATCTCCTGCTCCGCCTCCTCCTCGTCAGCTCCCACACACCCACTTTCAAACCAGGAGCGGGCGGCACAGAGTAGCCTACTCTGGGGCTCGGGAGAAAGAGGAGACGTGATCTATGGACACATTTTCACTTCATTGAAGTGGAGAACAAAACCAAATGCTTGATTTTAGTCGAAGGGAAGGAATATGGCCACATTATAGCTGGAAAAAACACAACCTGAAGAGACACGTCGCTGTTCAACACAAAGACATTACGGTAAGTTAACAGAAATATTGGTGGTGGTTGTTTATAATGTAACATTAATCAACAGCTATAATGTCCTAATGATAAACTAACTGATGTTGGCTAACTTTCATAGCATTTAGTATCCAGGCTGGCTACGTTACGTTAGCTTGTTAGCACGTAGCGACCGTAGCCACTTGTTGATAGAACTTAGATATGTTATACTGGCCGGGAAACTATAGTTTCAGTTACATTGCAAGTTTGATTAAAGCAGACAGATGCTTTAGGTAAACTAGGAGCAGCAAGTGAACTATAGTTAACACAAAACACCTCAGCAGCTACACATGTATGCTAAATGCTAAAACCAACTGAAACTATCGATCTTTGACAGTGTGTATCAGGATAAGAAAATTAAAATAATATGCCACACATAATTCAGAACAACTTTAACCTAGATTTTCATACACAAAATAGCCATTGCTAGGGGAACCACTGCGGGGATTTGGATGCAAACATCAATATTAATCAATATTAATAAAACCAAAATGCATGCACACATAAAAATGTCTGCAATTTATTCCTGCATAAAATGATAGTTACGGTAGGTTGTTTGTATGAGTTTGAAATGGATTGTCAAATGTAGTTTTTACAGAGACTTAGTTTTTGTTAAGGAAAAAAAGAGACCTATATGCTACTTATACACTTGGAATTCCTGTTATGCTGTGCATCTATCCTGACATTGTATTAATTTCTGTTCCAGATTGAAGATACACCAACCACCAACAACCACCCAGAAACAATGACAGGCCAGCTATACAAGCTTCCTTAATTGCCCACACCAAATACAAAGCTGACTCTCAGGACCAGCAAGCTATGCCTTGTTTCACATAAATACTGTACCTTTATAAACCATGTGAACTAGCTGGCAGGAAAGCACTTTTGTTGTATCAGTTGGAGTTATTTTTTTCACATCATTGATCTCAAATCTATTTATTTCTATCTATTTATTTTATTTTTCTATGTGAACTAGCTTTAAACAGCCAGCACTTGTGTTAAGTTCATAAAACACTTTATTTTATTGATTTGTTTCCTTTGTCAGGTGTATTTTATTTGTTTTAATGCAAGCATTTGTGTTTGTGTCTTTAAACCTTAACAATGTTCTGACAATATTTGCATATTTATTTTGAACATCTTCCATGTCTGCATTTGTTCCTTAAAATAGTGGGGGGGGGTTTTATCAAAAAGATGAGAGGAAATGTTGAAATGTGAAATCATTTTAGGAAATGTTAAATATTATCTGCTGACAAAAAAGTAAAAGGTTAAAATTATGTCCTGACTAAAACTAGACTAAAATGTTGACGGTTTTTGTTGACTAAAACTAAACTAATAAAATTATGTTTTCTTGGACTAAAATAAAGACTAAAATGCTCGACTTATAGTCGACTAAAACTAGACTAAATAAAAATGGGATGATGTCGACTAAATGTGATAAAAACTAACAAGCGATGCTGAAACTGGACTAAGACTAAAACTAAATTTAAAAATGGCTGCTAAAATTAACACTACCTCACACTCCCTTACCAGTGCAACATGATTGGATTCTTATGTGGGCTTGTCAACTGTTTAAAGATCTCTTAGGTACAAACATTTTTCTGATTTATGCTGAGCAATCTAAACTGATGTAATTGTCATTCTGCATTTCAATTTGTACAAAATAAATCAAAGTTAATTAAGAGGCGTGGCGATAGGAAGAATTGATTAGATGATTGGAAAAGTAAGAATATCAGGGACAGAAGATGGAGGTATGAGGAAGGAAAGATGGATGAAGGAAGGAAGGTTGAGAGGGACAGAAGGAAAGGACGGATAGTAGAAAGAAATTAAATCCAAACTCTTTACTGGTTGGTGGTGGTGCAAACTTGTAAGAATATGGCAGCACTAGGGCTGGGGAAATATGCACTCAAAACCTTCCCAATCATGACATTGGGTGATAATGATAAAGGTGACTTCTTTACTACAGCAATCAGCCACACAATCACAAATAATGCTCTTTAAGATTTCACACACTTAAATCAGCTGCTTTAGGACACCAGTTACATAAAGCAATATGATTTAAATCACTAAACATCTCGTAGTAGCTGCATTTAATCATGTTCTTTAAATTTGTCAATTCCTCTGTGTGTGTGTGTGTGTGTGTGTGTGTGTGTGTATATATATATATATATATACACACACACACACACGTATATATGTATATATATATATATATTTTGTTGTTTTTGTTTTTTATGGATACTGTATATACTGTATATATCCCATGCAACTTTTTCTTGCTTTGGCACATTCTTCTTCTTTGACTACTTGAGCTGATGTAACGAGTAAATATATCCACTTTGAGATCAATAAATAACAATTCACCAAGTTTCTGGAAATTTTAACCCTCATTGATTCCAATTTGTCATTTAGAAACTTACCAGGATAACAACAAAATATAAAATAAAAGCCTGGGAAGCACCAAGTAATTGTTCAAACTGCCATCAGAATTCAAGAAAGAGAAAGGGTCAGAAAGAAAACATGTCCAATAGTTTTGCTGGTTCTTCAACCATCAAGATCTAAAACAACTTAAAGAGTTACAGCATGTATATTCTTTTTGGGGTGAAGCAAGAAACAAATACAGGAAAAATTCAATTTTTATCCAAAGCTGGAAAATACTGAATTATTAAGATGTGTCTGTGTCAAAACAAAAACAGGTTTGAACTTCACAGGAAGCCTAAGTCTTGACTTTCTGTGCCTTTATGGCTGTTAGACTCTAATGTCCTTATGTGTTTCTACTAGAGCAGCACACCTGGCTTCCACTGATGGCTGATTAACAGACTTCAGTCCCATCATTTGAATCAGCTGTGTTAAAGCAGGGAAACATCTAACATGCAAACAGACTTTGCACAGCCTCAAAATGCTACAAAAACATGCATTCCTCAGTTTTGTCCTCAGTACTGTCAGATCATTCTGAACCTTAAAAGGAATTAAATATGAATAAATGTTTGCAATTTGCACAATAGAGGCCCAACAGGTTTAGGAGACTGCATATTTAATTTACAATATAGTAAAAAAAAAATTGAATGCCAATTATTCCCATCATTCTTCTATATACACAAGTGCCTAAATACACTTTTCCCCCAAAAAAAGATAAATAGTTCTAGTGCAGACTGTGACCTGAACCGTTTCCCCAGTGTTCTATGGAGTTACCTGTCTGACTCCAGACCTCTCGACCAAAGATGCAGACAAACTGTGCTGCTTCAGTTACAGCAACCAGAGACGCTCGCTTCCACAGTGGGGATCCGTCAGCTGCAGCAGCCAAGGCTAACAGAACCGGAATCTTTTAAATTAATGTCTCTTCCCCTCCGCCACACGCAGGATTTCAATGCAGAGTCTCAAGTTTTCCGCAACAGATGTATCACTCCGCTGCTTATTCTGCGGAGCAATAACTGATCAAAGGCAATACAGGCGGGAAAGAGGACTGGGTCACGTGACGCTGCGTTTCCGCTTCTAATGCAACAATTGGTCATTTCTCAGGAAGTGTGAAGAAAATCACTAGAAACTACTGTTAGTTATTGTATAGTGTTTCAAAGAATAAATAAAATAAATAAATTGCTTTGGCCCAGATTTTGCAATAGTTTGGACAAGGCAAATTTATTGGTATAGCACCATTCAGTACAAAGACAATGCAAAGTGGTTTACATGATAAAAATATAGAAAAATAAAAAAGAATCAAAGCAAGTAGGAAAAAATAAATAAATAAAATAAAAAATGCAAAAACAAAAAAGAACATTAAAAACATTTGGACTAAAAAAAGTTGAGCTAATGATGAACTGTTTAACTAGAAGAGTTGAAGGCAATCCAAAACAAATGTGTTAATGAGGATAGGTGCAGCTATAGGTTGGAGGTTTTTAGAGGATTTAACTAAAACAAAGCGGCAAAATGTGGAATTTTAATAGAACAGTAAATGTTACTGAATAACAATAAGTGATCTGTTGAACATTTTTCTCACAATATACTTTATTTTCTACATTCTGGTGATTTTTTGAGGATTGAAGTAAAGCAGAATTGGCCCTATTGTGCCAATTCACAACACATGTCATCTCAAGGCACTTTACAGTTCAACCAGATCATACAGTCAAATTGATTCAAAGTTTTCTATCTAAGGAAAACCAGTTGATTGCATCGACTCATTGACTCGAATGCAATCCCTCACACTAAGCATGCTTGTAGCAACAGTGGAGAGGAAAAACTCCCTTTTAACAGGAAGAAATCTCCAGCAGAACCAGGCTCAGTGTGAGCGGCCATGTGCAGAGGCCGACTGGGGTTCAAGGAGACAGAATCAGAGTTACAAAAAGCAGCTGTAAAAGGCGGCCCTGTCCAGGAAACACACAGCCACGCAGATGAGCTCCTAGTCAGCTCCCATGTCAGGGGATGAAGAGAGCATATCCAGCCAGTGACGGTCAGAGAAACAGGACTACACTGGAAAACAGGCCGATCTCCAGCATCTATAAATAGGGGTGTTGATGGCAGCAGCACAGCTGATATTTCTCTCCAGCATGGTGTCACAACAAAACAGAAACAGATGAGGCGAAGCTACTATGAGAAAATGCAGAGAGAGCAAAACGTTAGATATAGAACTAACAGATTCTGCAGAGTGGGAGAATAGAGATAGAAGCATGACTGTAGAGATAGCTCAGGCTAACCTGAGCCACTCTAACTATAAGCGTTATCAAAAAGGAAAGTTTTAAGCCTAGTCTTAAAAGTAGATACAGTGTCTGCCTCAGGGTGTCTATCTACTTTAAACTACGAATTTCACAATTTTGTTTATAAATTATCTCTGCAGTTCAAGTAAAGTGCAATCAAATCCCATGCAAACTACACTGTCTATAAATATTAGGTAATAGGCTAAAGATTAAAAAGCTTCATTCATTATTTTTATTAGTTTTTCGTACAATTGACAAAACAGATAAACAAGTCAGGTCTTCTATGAGGCTGTAGATTTTATAAAAACTCACCATGACACAAGATGGCAATTCTCTGGATGTTTCATTTGTAAAATGTGATGAAAATTAGATGAGATAAGATGAAAATTAAAATGAAATACCTCATAACAAGTGTCCTTTTTCAATATCTATCACAGTGAATAGGTGGGAATATGGACTGGATATGAACCTGGCTTGCCCTCCTGTGTGAGCACTAAGGTTGTATTTAAAACGCAGACTGGATTTTGATAACCATGGTATTTTTTATTTTTTTTGTCATTTTTTTAGTGTGAGAAATTGGGAATATGGTGTGAGAGTGTGTGAAGACAATGAGATGGGTGAGAGCTGACAGTCCTGGTAATGTGTAGCTTCTGTAGATTCCTGTACATCAGTAACAGTTTTACCTATATAAACAGATAATATATTAGATAAACAGATTATCATAGATTCTGTTTTATGTTTTGTAGGTTAACAAATGAGTTTTCCTTAAAGGTTTTTTAACCTGCGTATTATGACAATTCAGGAAACGTTTCACAAATTTTCTCTAACATTTATTTCTCAAGCTTTTAATGGCATTCGAGGTAACTAAACATTGACTATCATATTTTGTTCTGGACTTTACATAATAAATAAGGATTCTACAGGGTTCTTGTGTGTGTAAATAAATGAAACCGGATAAATATTTTTTACAGACTGAGTTTCTAGAAGTTTATAGTGCAAATACTGAAACTACCTCAGGATAGATTCCCTTAAGGGTTTCCAGGGATTATGAAAACTCTAGCTGCAGACAGAAGGACAGTTTGCTTAGTGAGAATTGTAACTCAATAAAACCCTAACATATTTCCAATTACAAAAAGAATGAAGCCTGATAGTAGGTCCCTTTTGAATGATCTGATAAGATGCAAAAAATTATGGTCAGAAAGTTGAAAAATCTAAAACAATATTCATATGTCATATGTAATTGATAAAATAATAAAATATGATAATGAATTGGAAATATTGAAATCAATAAAAATCTGGGACAGCTTTCCTTTGTATAGATATTTCAATTTTAGTCTATTTGTTTGGATAGTCTTTACAAATGATCAGAGATACCCACTAGGCCAGGCTTCATTTACCGGGCAAATATAATTTTGTTAAACTAAATTCCAACAATGCAAAGTGTAAGTTACATTCAAAGAACTGTGTAACACCCCTCCTACAACATCTTCACTGGCTCCATAAATCAGCATCACCACTTAAAGACCCTCCTTTGCATAGAGCTATCATTAATCTTGTAAAGTAGACTTATATTCATTTTATTAAAAGTGATCAAATGTATTTTTGTTATATATTGTTATGATCATTAAAATATTCTTAAAAATATATCCAAGCTCAAAATAATTGTAAAACTATACGTTTTTAATCTACATGGATTGTTGCACCCCATATTGTCCAATTGTTCATGTCATGCATCCATATATTTTTGTTAGGAGTGGAACAGCAGTATGGAGGACCAACTCTGCCATATTTATTAAACCCTCTAAGACAGCGGTCCCCAACCACCGGGCCGTGGACTGGTACCGGTCGCGGTCAGTAGGTTATTTGGTACCGGGCCCCATGAAAAAAAGTATATATATATATATATATATATATATATATATATATATATATATATATATATATATATATATATATATATATATATATATATATATATATAATTTTCTGAGTGATGTTTTATTTTGAAAAATATAAAAAATTGCGGTATTCTCTCCCACTTACATTTATGTCTCATTGTATAATTTAATTTCTACCTATATTTATTTGTTTATTGTATTTTTAATTAATTGTGTGCTTATTTATTTATTGAGCATTTATTTATTTATTTATTTATTTATTTATTTATGTATTTATTTTTAAATATGGCAGAGTTGGTCCTCCATACAGCAGGAAACAAACTACTACTACTAGAAAACACACTGAACTTATATATGAGTTATATTTAAAAATTATCACTTCTGAAATCTAAATTTTTGCTGATTCGCCTGCGGTCTTGTTTTCTTGTTTTTTTTTCTTCGTTTTTTTTTTGTGGATGCAACAAACTTTAGCTGCATTTACCGCCACCTACCAGATTGGAGTGTTATTGTCAATTACGTCAGAGTGAAATTAATAATACAATTATAATTCCATGGTATGCACAGATCCGCACATTTATATCCATACACACTCACATATCAGTTTCTATGTGTGTATATGCACTTGCATACACAAACCTATATAAATACTTTATGTTTTTTTTTTATTTCTAACAGAATTTCATTTATTTCCTATAATATTTATCATAGAAAGTGCTATTTTCTCTCTATTCAGTATTGACTTTAAGTGCTGACGTTAACACACGTTCCACTGTTTTCATCCCATTAATTCATCTGCTTTAAGAAACGATCTTTATTTTAAGGTCGCAAAAACAGCTCTGTCGTCACTTCCGCCCTAAGGAAGAGGCGGGACTAGTTTGTTTTGATCAGTTTTTAAGCACAGACAGGCCTAATTACGATTAAGTTCATTTGAATTCGTGTTTTTATACCCTCCCGCCAATAACGAGTGATAGTTTGAGAAAAGATTGGGGTGGGATTTTTCTTCATAGATTATGAATCTTTAATCTTCTCTTCAGCTGCGGCACCCCAGACATCCATTATGACGTGTTTGACATAAATTCATGTAAAGACATAATTAATTTTTTTATCTAAACAACTGCAAAGGGGAGCAATTGCTTTTATTTGCATCGCCATTTCATATGTGGTGGTGAAGCGCATCAGTTCCAGAGCTAGAGTTTGCAGACTGTACCGTCTGTGTGCTTTGTGGGTGGGGGTGGAGATCCTCCTCCTAAAAACAGTCATCACCAAGCAGCTTCACTCCATGCAGCACCTTCGATGATCCAAAATCGAGGATAGATCACTTAATTTTTGCATATGTTGTTTTTGTTTTGTTTAAACCTATACAACAACTTACTGGAGTTTTTAATATTTTAGTTTTTTTTTTCATGTTTTTCTAGCCAACATAACAGAAAGGTAGGTGTTATTTTGGACCGTTAGGGATCAGTTTAACGTGAGTTAGCCATTACAACTTCACCACCATGATGTTTTCGGTTTTTGATCGTTGCTTCAGGGTCAACTCTGATGTTTATTTGTACTTCGATGGGGGAAAAAATGCGTGAATTAAAAAAAAAAAAAAAAAAAACAATTGAAAATCGGTAGGGGACGTGACGTAGCTGCTAGAAGATTCCACACATTTAACGTTAAAAGCTCGAGCGGTTGAAGGTGAACGCAAACGTCTCTTCAAAGTCGTTTATATCTGGCAGGTTTCGTGTAAAACAAACAAACCAGGCGTATCGGAATCTATCGTAAACTTAACGACGTATTAGAACGTCCTTTATTTTGGCTAACCTCCCTAAAATGTTCATTTAAAGTCAACTCATGAGATCATCGGTCACTTCTTCAACCAAGT